AATTAACGTTGAACCACTGATGATGTCACATGGACTATTTTAACAATGTTATACGTTTCTGGGCCTGGGAACATTTCAGTTGCATTGCTGTCTATGGAGGGTCAGAAAGTTCTCAGATTTCATAAAAAATATCTTAATTTGTGTTCAGAAGATGAATGAAGGTCTTACGGGTTTGGAACGACATGAGGGTGAGTAATTAATGACAGAATTTTCATTTTTTGGTGAACTATCCCTTCAAGCTCATGACAAAAAAACACAGAAATGCATTACAAATATAGTCCACGATTTGTTCATTATATTGCAACTTTTCTGAAGTCATATGATAGGATTGTGTGAGGGAAAAATCTAAATGAAGTTGTTATGTACTGATATTGTTCCCTTACAATGTTTATAGTCATGTTATAATGACAGATATTTTTCTTTCATATTGTGACATACAAAAAGAAAGAAATGTGGGATGGGACTTGGTTTTATCTACCGGTTGTTGATTGGATGGAGGCAGATCTGAATGCGAGCTTGCAGTTGAATGTAAGAAAGTGGGTTTTAGTGAGTTTTAGTGAGTGAAATGATTGAAATGAGAGAAATCTTTCATTTGGCAGACGGATTGAGTTTTGATATTTTATTCAAAAATTTTGAGGTCAAGCATATTTGACAAAACATTATTTTTATGTGCTGGTTCTTTTCAATTAACCCATTGATCTAGTTCACAAATTGGACTGACTAATTAATTCACAAAATTTAAAAAAAAAATCAGAATTCAACTCATCGTTACAAGGACAAACTGCCTTTCCTGTACTCAGTCACACAGGATGCAGTGCTGAATTGTCGGTCACTTTGGTACATGGTGCAAACTGATATTTTTGAGCAGTTTCCAGGGAAGGGAGTCAAAAGTTGCATGGCCTTGTAGCATTATAATGGACTTTCTGGCTCTGAGTGAAGACTGGCTCAGACAGATAGATCTACTCTTCAATGGCAGTGCCAGTGTTCATGGTTTTTCAGTGTGTTCAAAGTTCCTTTAAGGCTAGTCACTTAACTCGGCGACCATATTGGTAACACCACTGAGTATCTATTTTCTATATATGCTACCATTCAAAAGTTTGGAATCTGTAAGACTTTGTTTTTGAAACAAATAAATCCTTAACTTTAGCAAGGATGTATAAAACTGATTCCAAGTGACAGTCAAGGCATTAAGTAAAAATATTAAGCAGCAAAACAGTTTTGAACATTGATAATAATAATAATAAATGTTTCTTGAACACCAAATCAGCATATTAAGAGTGATTTCTAAAGGATCATGTGACATTGAAGACTGGAGTAGCCTAATGGCTGCTGAAAATTCAGCTTTGCCATCACAGGAATAAATTACATTTACATATATTAAAATACGAAATAGTTATTTTGAATTGTACTAATAGGTGTAGGTAGCTGTTTTCATTGTTGATGCATGTGGTTTCACACATCAGTTAAAACAATAGGCCTAATCCCTGTGCTTGCAATGAAAAGCTGCAAATATTTGGTTGGCTGTTACGTCACCTTTAGTTATTTGTTCTCATACTCAGGGAAATTTCATCATGCATACACATCCCCACACGAGTATACAGTAAACAAGCTGTATTAGCGTAATTATCAACAATTAACAATAAATAGTAACAACTAAGACTCTGATTTATTATGTAAGGGTGTGTATGAAGAAACGTCGGTTTAAAACTAAATAAGTATCGAGTTTCTCATTACAGAATTACTATGAACACATAATGAGGTCCATCTTTTATGCTAATTATGATTACATAATACAGGACTATTATTGCTGTCTCTTTCCCTCACAAATCACATCTATAAGAGGTTGCAGAAGCCAAAGTGGCGGAAACCACTGCAGGATGTAAGCATCTTATCCTTTCTTTCCACATTTTCTCTCTCCCTAATGTCTTAAGGGACCCTTCATACACACACACACACACACATAGGCCTACACACTATGACACTCTCCCATCTGAAACAACTAGTCTGTCCCAAAAGAACTCACTTTGTGTCGTTTATGTCTATGACATTGGTTCCCGAAGTTCCCTTATACTACATTCTCTACATTTGATGTTGCTATTTACCTGTTAATTACAGTCCAACACCAGTACACACACACACACACACACACTGTAAATGTATATATGAATAAATATAACACTCTATAGGATATATGTTCACATTTAGGTGTAAGTTTCACACATGATAGGCCATCAAAAACATCTTTATTCTCAGCTCCAAAATGAGCAGTGGCACTTTATAGATCATTTCCATCATAACTTCCACAAAAACTACATTACCCATCACTAGGCACAGAATTCAGTTGCTTTGACACAATCTGTATTGTTAAAAGCGCTATATAAATAAAGGTGACTTGACTTGACTAGGCACACACAGAATCTGAACTAACAGATTTCTGGAGCCATATTATATTATTTATATATACTATTAAAATATTTATTAATATTATTAAAATGATGAATTAGCTTTTATTTTTATATTTTGACTTTTCATTTTAATTACAGTTTCAGTCATTTTGTTATGTGTTTGTCATGTTTATTATTTTTTATTTAAGTTTATTTTTTACTAATTCAACAAACTTATTTCTAATTATTATAAGTTTCTCATTTTTAAGTATAACTTTTTCATCTAATATTTAATTTTATTATTTTATTTTATTTATTATTTCAACTTTACTTGAATTATCAAAAATAATTTTTAATAGTTTTATTTAAAAATAACAACACTGATTGGAAATGGCTGACATTCATAAAATTCAACAACCCTTCTTACCCCATAGGCGTTTTGTAATTAAACATTTTGGGTAATATGATTAATGCTTTCAGCTACCAATAACAGTGTAGTATTTATTTAAGATCCATGTAACACATTATGTTTACATCCTAATAATTCCATAGATTTCCCTTAAAATCTGTTCAGAAAATGCAAAGATTCCATCTGGGCCTACCTATCATCAATAACTGTAGGAGCTAGTTGAAACTTGATGTTCGAATAATATAATTTTCACATAGCTAACCAGCAAATATTCTGATTTAATCCCTTGGATAAATAAAATAGTTCCCTTTTTGAGTCTTTTAAAAAGCTGAACAATGGTGCTCAGTTCCTTTCACAGTGGATTTGAACAGGTGGCGTAAACAAAAACAACAATCAAATAAAGGAACTATTTGACAATGAGAAAAACATTCCTAATAGCATTAGCGAAACATTTCCTCAGTGCTGTGGTTCAGATTTAATCAAACTCACTGAGTGTGACAAGGCATTAAGAGTGATGAAATAACAGGAGGGAGAGTGAGAGGGTTGTGAAGATGACAGAAAGAGAATACAGACAAGGAAGGACGTCAAGAAAGCGTCAAAGAGGGAGAGAGAGCGAGAGATGAGGGTGTGGGCTCATCACTCCTCCGCACCGCTATCAGACTCAGCACCTCGGGGCTGGCGCAGTGCCAGTACAACCATGAAACAGAGATGGGCCCCGACTGGCACCATCTAACGCTGACGCCCACCCATCATAGCCCATAATGGCCCTCATCCTTGTGCACAACATTACACTACTGGAATTACTTTTTATTCCCTCTGGAGTCAAATATGGATAACGACATATGACAGCAAAAGACGATACATCATTTTAATGCCTAACTCTCTCATACACACAAACACCTACATGCATCAGCTATGCTGCATCCATATCCCTTTTCCACATGTGCAAAAAATACATTTTAACATAAAATGATTTAGCAATTCTAAAATGCTACATATAATTCATCAAAAATATCCTGGTTTGACGTTGTTAAGATGAATGTTAAAGGTGAAGTGTGTGGTTTCTGCTTTGCTTGAGAACCAAATTGCAAAAAATGTTCAAACACTCAAACGCCTTTGGATGCATCAGCAAAGATGCATTAAATGAATCAAAAGTGACACTGATAACGTTTATAAAGTTTTAAAAGACTCTATTTCAAATAAACGTTGTTCTGTTGATCTTTCTGATCATTAAAGAAAAATGTATTGGGCAGCACAACTGTTTTCAATATTTATAATAATAAGAAATGTTTCTTGAGCAAAAAATCCACATATTAGAATGATTTCTGAAGGATTGTGACACTGAAGACTGGAGTAATGCCTGCTCAAAATTCAGCTTTGCCATCACAGTAAAAATTACATTTTGTAATTTTGTAACTGTTATTTTAAATTGTATTTGTTTTTTAAAGAGGTCATATGATGTGATTTAAATTTTTCCTTTCTCTTTGAAGTGTTACAAGCTCTTGGTGCATAAAGAAGATCTGTAAAGTTGCAAAGACTAAAGTCTCAAATCCAAAGAGGTATTCTTTATAAAAGTTAAGAGTCAACCACGCCTACCTAAAACAGCTCGTTCTAACACGCCCCCACATGTCTACGTCACGATGTGGGAAGATTTGCATAACGCCGCCCAAATGTTCACGCAAAGAAAGAAGGCGTAACTTTTATTCTCGCTGTAGTATTGTTGCTGCCGCCA